GAGCCTCAAAGAACACCTGGTAACGGTTCCCCACCCCACCCAGCCCTCAGCCTGACGCCCTCCCACCCTCTACACTGCTGCTCCATCTCCTCCCAAGCCCTCCCCACACAGCTGCCCAACTCTCCCCAGCCCAGGCAGCACGCAGCCGAGAGTTCAGTGATGTAATTGCATTTGTATTCCTTTCTCCAGGGAGTCAGAGTCCCCACTTCCCCATCTCTTCACCCCCCACACACTTTCTAGGATTCTTGACCAGAGGGGAACCAGGCCAAGCTGAAGGGGGACAGGTGGAGGGAGGCAGCAGGGAGGGACCCCCAGGGGGCCACACCTCCCTGGCTAAAAGGGTAGAGCTGAGGAGAAAGAGACAGCTGAGGAAACCCCACCTTCAGTTAGCAGGCACTGGGGTAGGGCTAGGGTCCCCCCAGCACTACTCATTGGCTCAGTCATACTAATAAAACATTAAGAATGAGCTTATGACAACTTACACCTGGAACAGGAGTGATGATCTCTCTCACCTGACCTCCCAGCTCCTCTCCACAGGCAGCTCTGCAAGGAATGTCCATCCTTTGCAGCCCAGAGAGGCCCAAAGAAGGATCCACCTGGTGAACACGGCAAGTGGCTGAGAAGACACTGCAGCTATCAGGGAGACCTCCTACCAACTGCCAGCAACAGAATGAAGGTTCTAGAAACACTAGGCAGGGCTTCAGATACCACAGCTGAACCATCATGTTCCACCCCCAACAGAAACCTTCCTCCCAGACCCTTTTCTCTGACATTCCCAGCCCCCATCTCTACTCTCCTACCTACCACCTCCATGCCCTGGCAAGAGCTAGTGCCTCAATTCCAGGACAGACCCAGACTATTAAGAAGAAATGTCACCTGGATAAATGGACAGTTTAGATTTTGATTTAACAAGGCAACAACTTCAACATAAGAGGTTGGGGGTGAGGAACACAGCAGTTATTTATGTGGAATACACCTGGTGGTTTTAGGTCTGCTTTAAGGTCCTGGGAACCAGCAGGGCCACTGAAATCAATGCTAACTCAGACTGCATGAGCAGGAGTATAATGTCTAGAACAAGGAAGGTGTTGGCCTGAAGGAAGGTGAAGGCCAGGCCTTCGTACTGCACTTAGTTCTGTGTCAAACCAGAGCATAGATGGGTGGACACCTGGTTGTGCTGGAATAAAACAGATTCAGGTGAAAATAATATCTGCCATTTACTGAGCACTTACTATGGGCCAGTTGCTATGGTTTGTGCTGGGTGGACATCCTCTTATTCAACCTTCACAATGATTCCATGAGGGAGGGACGGATATTATCCCTGTGTGACAGACGAGGAAACTGAAGCACAGCAAGGTCAAGTTGTAAGTGGTGACAACAAGTTCCACAATTCAGCACTGTCGGCAGAGATTAGACTTAACCTTGTGTGCACAATTAGGACCCAATAGGAGCAAGGTGTAGAGCCTTCATAAGAGCTGAGTGGAGGGAGGGCTTGTTAGGTAGTGAGCTCCTTATCCCTAGAAGCATGTGAGCAAGGACTGGATAAACATCTCTAGGAATCCTGTCGAAGGGACTGTAAAGCTACACGACTACGCCAGTTGTAGGGTTGAGGCAATAGCTATGCTAATTGTACTGTTAAAGCAATCATAACTAAAGCCAAAATGTTTCATTATTTTAGTCATACTAAGCTTTCATTTGTACTGTCGGGGCTAGGGCTCAAGCCCTTCAAACCCATTGTACAGACTGGGTCACCAGACCCCTCACATGCCGGGCTGAGTCACAGACCCCTCAACACGCAGATCCATGCTAGGTAATTGGGAAAGATCCCAGGAGCCATTGGCAGATGACATGAGCTCAGACAGCAGCAGCAGCAGCAGCAGCAGCAGCAGCAGCAGCAATAGTAGTAGTAGCGACCTCTCCGTGGCCCCCAGGAGTGGGGGGACCCTGCAGATCAGAGCCACTGTCCTTTATACTTAAGTCCATAATCCAGGACACCTGGGTGCACATGCGCAATTACACTAGACGATAACCCAGGAACACCAGAGCGCATGTGCCTGTTTACATCAAATGCTCAGCAAGATTCTGAACATCTGAGGGGCCCTGACCATTTTCCTATATTTTTCCCTACAGAACCCCTGGGTTGGTGCTTGCTCAGCTGCCCTGTGAGCTCTGAGATACTATCGCGGACTCTGTGATACTATAAATACAGAGCCCTAAGAGCCCACAGGGGCCCTCCCTACCCTTGCTGCGGCTCTCCCTCCACCTCAGGTCTCCCATGGACTTTCTGGTGTCCCAGGCATCCCTTACTTATACAAACCCCCCTCCACCTCTGAATAGGATTCCCCTTTAAGATATTGGTCAGAGAGCACCCCAGAGCTCAGGGAGATCCCCACCTGACATGACCTGACCTGGGAGGGTCTCCCATGAGGCTGAGATGGCCCCATCAGGACAGGGAAGCAGGGGCAGATGAGGATGAGCTTCCTCCCACACGCCTGCTCTTGTCCCTCCCATAGAACAGGAGCCATTTCTTAGGACTCGCGAGAGTAGAGGGGGTAGGGTTGATAGGTGGGCATTGCATAGGCCCTAGGGAGAGCAGGTTCACCCTGTAGTTAACCAGGCAAGGCCCTGGCCTGGAATTCAAAAGGATTACTGAGTGGGAGTGCTGGAACATAAGCCCCTGCGGAGACTCGACCCACTTCTGTAGAGGGAGAACCCAAGGCACTCTCCCTGCAGCCCACCTGTGGGAACTAAGCTCCTTCAGGCCAGGCTGGGAGCAGTGGTGTGGGGGGTGGACTCAGCACTGGCATCCAGGCCCAGCTCAGGCCACTAATTAACTTTATGGCCTGAGGCAGTCACTTCACCTTTTGGCCTGTTTCCTCCTCTGTGCAGGGGCGATAACAATCCTCAGTGAGGCCCAACAGAGATAACTAGTCTATAAGGCCCTGTGGAAAGCCCACTGTGTTTATAAGGTTGTAAAGTGCTGTTATTACCCAGGGGTGGGCTTAGGGAGGGCCCCTCCTGGTCTGACCTGAAATGTCACTCCCAGACAGGATGCTGGATCCTGTCCTTTCCTGAGGGCAGCCCAGGGGGTGGGTAGGGCCTGTTTCTAGAGAAGAGAACAGAGCACTCAGCAAACATTTGCTGATGTTGGTGATGATCTTTGGACGATGATGGTGATGGAAACCGATTCCATCTGTGCACCACACCCTGATGTCGGCAGGGCAGGCCCAAACACCGGAGAGCGGTCACCCTCCCCGGCATCGCTCCCACCCACCCCTTCCTGCCAGGAAAGTGTTCACTGACACAACACCCTCCCTATGAGAGGAAAATTCCTGCAGTAGACCTCGCGGGTCAGAGGCAGTGACCACGGGACAGGACGGGGAAGGTTGGGGACCACAGTGGGCTGGAAACCAATTCCTGGGATGTGTCTCTCGGCCTCCCTCAAGCCCCCAAAATATGCTCACTGACGCAATTACTACTTGCTCTGGGGGGCCTCCGGGGGTCAGACTGGGATCTGGAGACCCAGAGATTGAGAATAACTGTTCCTTCTTGAGTTGTTCAGCAAAGGAACAGCAATAATCCCAAAGTCTGGGGGACTGAAGAGTTGTGATTTGTTTTCTTCCTGGGGAACAGTTGGGCTGCTAACGCCACCTGCACAAGTCTGTCTGCTTCCAAAATGGTGTCATGTTCTCATCTTACTGGCTACTTCTCACACCAGCTCCATGTCTTCCAGGTGCAAAAACCGAGGCCCATTTAAGCAGAGCTGAGTCAGGACCAGAACCCAGGTCTCTTGACTTAGGTCAGCCTCTGGCTACCCCATGACAGTGTCTGTCCGTTAGTAAGGAGGAGCCTGCACAGACCCACGAGTAACAGCCCATCAAGGGGTCCCAGGCCTGGTCCTGGCATGGCCATGTGTGTGTCCATCTTGATGCTCCTGTTGGTGAGACCACCACTCCTGACTCTGGAGGAGCAGGGGGAAGTGCAGAATTGAGGTGCCTGGGTAAGCTGCAGAGGGAAGGTATCATCTCCCTACTGCAGTGTGGACAAAAGCAGAATGAATCCAGCCTGCAGCAAGTGATCCCTCTGGTCCAGAGATCAAAAGGACACAAAGGAGAGAAGGGTCCCCAGCAGGTGCTCCAGCATCGTGCCATCCGGGCCCAGTCCTTGTGGTAGGTAGAGGCACCCTGAACAGTCCATTCCTGGGGGGCAGTTCTCTGGGGAAGCCATGCTTTGCAAGCCACAAGTTATCTAGTTACACATTACACAGTGTTTTTCCCTTTCGTTATTTCTGGGCTTTTAGTAAAGTCCTGTTTAAAGGTTCTGGCCTTGACTCAGCTGTGCTAGGCGCAGCTAAGAAGGATCCAGGTCCACCTTTGGGCCAAGGTGTTAAAGGAGACCAGCACCTCTGGGGTGGAGGATCAACGAGTGGGTCCCGAGAAGGTGAATCTCACATAACACCCCCACTGCTACATTCCCCATGCCCACTGCCAACCTTCGGGGGTCAGTGTTTTCTCTCATTAGGGCAGTTCTCCTCACAGGTCCCCTTTCTGCATCTAGGACTCCAGCCATCCTGTCACTTTACTTCAGCAGAGCATCCATCCCTGGCAACTAAGTTCTGGGCCAGGGCTTCTTGGAGGGGAAAAAGAAATGATCATAGACTTGTCACAAAAACAACCGCCCCCAGGGTGCTGGCCGGTTAGCTCAGTTGTTTAGAGCACAGCCTTATAACCCCAAGGTCACAGGTTTGGATCCCCACACTGATCAGCCACCAAAAAGACCCAAAAACAAGACTGCCCCAAATTTCCCAAAGTGAAGCCCCTATGTCTATTAGGCAAGCCCTATGCCTATTAGGCAAGCCCTATGCCCACCCCAGAACCAAGCCAGAAAAGATTCCATAAGAAGATATCATCCACTGAGCCAGAATTTAAAAATAATTATATTAATAATAAATATGTTAAGTTACATTTAAAACAATAAATAGAAAAATAAACTGATAAATAAAATCAACAGGTACAAAATGTTTTAAAATTCCAACAACAACAAAAAAAACAAAACACACAGCTGACAGACAAGACAGATGGACATAACAGGAGGACGCTAAATGCAGTCACTGGAACCCTTCACAGTTTATGTTGTGGCTCCCTCCCCGCCTGGTCACTCTCTTCTCCACAGCTTGGAGACCAGGAAACTCGGTGGCTGACATCTTTGGGGACTCCAGCCAGCATAGGGAAGCATCTGGTCCCACCTCAATACCTTCTGCAAAGCAACCCTGAACCATAGGGTGGGTGGGTTCAGAGGACAGGAGTGTGAGGCAGAGGCTGGACTGTGGTGGGGCAGAGGGTGGGGAGGACCAGGATGTCCCTACAGAGGCAGGTCGGTGCTGTTGTGCCGGGTTTTCCTGGCAGTGCCATCATCTCGGGGCAGAGCCCTCTGCAGGTTGGACATGGCCACGGTCTTTTTGAGGTCAATCACAGCGTAGGAGTCTGAGCTGCGGGCAAGGTGGGTAGTGGGCACAGGGGCTTGGGAGACCGAGGGGTTCTGGGGCCCCTTGGCATGGTCTCCACCCCAACCCTTTAGCTCCACCTGGATGTAATTGAGCTGCCTTGGGGGCTCAGGGCCTGGCCGGCGGAAATCAAAGTTGAAGACCCTTGGGGAGCCGCGGCGCCGGGTGAGTGGCACAGGGAAGCTGGGGTGGTTGCGGACAGTGGCCCGGGTGCTGGTGGGCTTCTGCAGTGGGGTCTCGTCCTCCTCACCATCGGGGAAGCCATTGGAGGAGGGTGTGAGCCCATCCTTTGAGTCCCCATCATCCCCGACCTCCCCCGCCAGCTGCTGGGCTTGGCTCTCCCACACAGGCGGAAGTGGGGGCAGGTTCTCATAATGCAGCAGAGCGGCCCGGCGGTGGGCAGGGCCATTCCAGCTCGGCTCCTCTGGGCTCAGTCTCCAGCCAGCCCCTCGCCGCAGCCCCCTGCCGACATTCTCGTAGGTGCACTTGGGTTGGGCTGGACACTCAGAAAGGCCCTCGTTGTTATTGTTGTGGTGGGGGGTGTCGTGCAGGCTGGGGCAGAGGCCCTGGCACTTCATCATGTGCCGCCGAGCGGGGGTTGGGCCCAACACGAACTTCACCTGGCCTGGCTGCAAGAACACCTGCGGGTCCCGTTGGTCGGGGTCCCTGGCCTGTTGGGGTATGGGCACCTGACCCTCGGGCAGGGGCTGCAGGCAGTGCCGGCTCCTGTGGTGGTCATCCTCACTGGCTGGTGTGTTGACATAGGTGTGGGACTGGGAGGTTGGGGAGGTAGAGTCCAGGTGAAGCAGAAGGGTCCAAGCACAAGGAGGAAGGAGAGAACAGAGGGAAAGGATGAGAGAAGAGAAGCACAGGGAAAAAGAACTGGAGTTTCCTCTTCTTTGTCCTCCAAACCTTCTAGGGAAGCCTCCAAACCTCCCTTTCTGGGGACTGGAAGGGACCCTATCAATTTTCTTCCCTTCCCCATCATCCTTACTGGTAGGAGGTGGCCATATTTCCTATCCTCTATCCCCACCCAGACCAGGGGGTCGGGGGCTGGCTGGCTGGCTGGCTGCATGCTCACCTGCTCATCAGGGGCAATGAGGGCATGGGTGGACTCTTCCCCAAGTGAAGAATGTCGCAGGCTGCTTGTCGAGGGCCGCCGGGGAGCTGAGAATTGTAGGCCCTCTCCAGGGCAGCCAGGGAAGCCATTGGAGAAGCTGGAGACAGTGTAGCCTAGAGCTAGGCATGGGAAGACAAATCCAGGTGAGGGGCACTTAAACCCCTGACAACCACTTGCAATCGAGTGTGTGTGTAGGAGCCACTTGTGGTGGGGAGCATCCTGGGACTCCTCCCATTGGAGGGGACACTCTCAGGGCCACCCCGTAGTCAGCCACACTGAACTGGAAGTCCCCCATTATCCTTCTCTCTGCTCCTCAAACCGTGCCCTTTCCCTCAAAACTCAGCTTGAAGCCCACCTCCCACTTTCTCCATGACAGCCTTACCTGAAACACCTAAGGCACACCTTGTTGTCACTGGACTATTCCTTTGCCTAATTCTAGCTCTGGCAGTGAGCTCCAGGGTAGCTGCTGCTCAAAAACAGAGACTGTGTTGGGCCGAGCCCGTGGCGCACTCGGGAGAGTGCGGCACTGGGAGCGCAGCAGCGCTCCCGCCACGGGTTCGGATCCTATATAGGGAAGACAGGTGCGCTCACAGTGCTCACTGGCTGAGCGCGGTGCGGCTGGTCTCAAAAAGGACAAAAAAAACCCCCCAAAAAAACAGAGACTGTGTTTCTATTTCTTCTGTCCCCCACAGGCCAGCCCAGGGAGTACAGAACACTGAGTAGGTGCTCGGTCTGGACTCAGTAACTGAACAAGCAGAAATTGTGTGAGCTCTTCAGAAGACAGTCATGGCCAGAGACTCCTGTACCAGCAGCCAGGAGAGGTATATGACTATGACCCAGTAGACAGAAGGAAGGAAACAAAAAAGCTTCAGATTGCCGTTTCTATGGAAACCCAACATCTTCCTCTCTGCTCCCTGACCATCAGTCGATATAAGGCCCAGGACTCCAAACCTCAGCTAGAGGCATCTGATTGGCCCAGCCGGGGACTTATCCATCCTCAGGAGTGGTTCTGATGGCGGAAGACTATCCTGGAAGGCTGATTCCCCCCAGCCATGCCCTCACCTGCCTGCTTGACTTGTGCCTTCTGGGCCTGTGCTTGCGTGTGCACGTGTGCATGTGTGCACACGCACTGGGGTACAGAGGATGGGGGTCTCCTCACCGTTGGGCGGCTGCGGGGCCCGAGGGAGGTCAAGCTCAGTGGGGTGGCTGTTGTGGGTGATGATGGCTGGCTCTTCCATCACACTGATGCTGTTGCACTGCATCAGATCCTGAAGGAGGTTGAAGATTTCCTCGGCCCGGGAGCACTTGAATGCAAATATCCCTGGAGAACAAGAGGAAGAAATGAGGCTGCTCTGACCCTGGGCCCAATAGGGAAGAACCAGCGGAGCTCAGCAGACACTCAAAGTGCAGAGAATATCCCTGAACTCCAGTCCCAGCCCTACAGGGGAAGGAGGGCCCTTCCTCATCCTGAGCATTCTTCTCAGGCACTCTTTAATCTAAGAGAGCTCAGTAGCTCCAGTTTGGGGCTGGGCCCAAGGAACCCTGCTCCCCCACACCCATACTATCCATTACCATCGTCTTAAGACTGAATACCTCAGCTATATTCCTGAGGTGAAATCATTTCATAAAGATGTGCGTGTTCAGGGGTATGGGGAAGAGAATGAAAACCAAAGTAGAAAAGGATGGTATTAAGGGCCGGCCCGTGGCTCACTTGGGAGAGTGTGGTGCTGATAACACCAAAGCCACAGGTTCGGATCTCTATATAGGGATGGCCAGTTAGCTCACTTGGGAGAGCGTGGTGCTGACAACATCGAGTCAAGGGTTAAGATCCACTTACCGGTCATCTTTAAAAAAAAAAAAAAAAAAAGGAGGGTATTGGATGTATGGACTTTCTACTTCACATCATGCCCCTATCTTCCTCCGCCTACCACCCCTGCCCCCAGAAAAACAGGCTCCACCCAGCACACCAACCTTCAGCTCTAGACCCAATAGCCTCTAAGCTCTCTGCAGACAGGAGGGTCTGTCCTGTTCACTGGGGAATTTAGCCTAGGCCTGGCCAAAGAGTGAATGCCGGACCGGCCCGTGGCTCACTCGGCAGAGTATGGTGCTGATAACACCAAGGCCACGGGTTCGGATCCCATATAGGGATGGCCGGTTCGCTCACTTGGGAGAGCGTGGTGCTGACAACACCAAGTCAAGGGCTAAGATCCCCTTACCGGTCATCTTTAAAAAAAAAAAAAAACAAAGAGTGAATGCCTACTGTGTCTAGGTCCCTGACCTCATAGAGCTTAAACTCTGGTGCAGAAAGAAGAAAAGATGGGCAGACTAGCCAAAGGTGAATACAGCGAGGCAGTCACCATGGCTCCTCGATGCAGCCAGTGCTCTAGCCCTTCAAACTCCAACACAGCAACTCAACATCCTGGGGACAACAGGATAGGGCTGAGCACCCGTGACTCAGGGAATCTAAAGCTGCCCTTAGGGAGTTGGGACAGCCTGTAATTCTGCATTCCCCTCTGTAACAGTGGGACCTGGGACTCGGGGGAGGCTACTTGGGTGTGCATGTACATATACCCACAACAAAGAAAAATACAATTAGACTGGGGTATGGGACAACTGTGATTTGCCGGAATGGGATGGAAAGGATATAGGTGGGAAAAAAGGGACTATTCTGGCAAGAAATTCAACAGCTAGAAAAGACTGGGAATACCTAGAGTTTTAGGAGAACCCTGTGTTGGGGCCTAGGGCAGTGCCTCTGAGATCCCAAGGGACTGGGCCAGAGCTGCAATGACTGAAAAGAAAGCACTGGCCAGGGAATCCACTTAGTTCTGCAATAACATGCTGTGTGTCCTCGGCCAAGACCCTTCCCCTCTCCAGGCAACACCTCTCAAGTATGAGTGCTGGGCTGGATATTAAGGCCTATTTCCAAATTCCACAACAAACTTCCCCACAGTCCCCTGAGCTGTACTTTCCAGCCACAGTGTCTGCCCCAGGTGCACAAGCCCCTATCCCAGGGTAGGGTGGGGCTGGTACTCACCCTGGCCAGTCTGACATCGTCGGCCACTCTCAAAGGAGAAGAGATTGGAGTCATAGCCATAGCGCCGCAAGCAGAGGTAGGGCCAGCGGACAGCCTCCCGCCGATGCAGGTGCAGCACCAGCTCGCTCTGCGTCAGCTCCATCACCCCAGAGCCCAGCTCCACCCCCTCGTCATCCACATTTGTCACCTGGAGGGGAGAAGACAGAAGGGTCAATGAATGAGGCCAACAAGAGTTTGCACAGGGGAGGGGTGGTAGGCAGTCCGATGCAGGGACAGAGCCAGGGGACTGAGGGTCTCACCCACCTCTACCACAGACTCTGCTGAATGTCACATGATTGCTGGGGGATGCCATGGATCCACAGCAGTTCTCTGAGCAAATCTCTCCTCTCTGGGCCTCAGGTTTGTCATTTGGACAGTGAGGGAAGAGGTAGGTAGTTGACCTCACAGGTCAGATGGTTAGATGACCAATGTTAAACGACCTCAGATGGCCCAAGGCTCAGTATCCAAGGACCAGATGTTAATAGAGAAAGGGTTCAATCGTAAGTTCAAAATCTTCAGATCCTGGGAAAGTCAAGCCCAAGGCAGAACAAATACGTACTGCCTCCACCACCTCCCCAATTATACAAGCTTCCCAAGGGCTCCCTCTTCTGGTGGGCACGAGAAACACATGCCTCAACATGCCTGGGTGTGAAGATGAGGCCCCCAACAAGAAGGTAGGTGGGGGTGGGTTGTGGGGGCAGGTCAGGTCCACTGGGCATGGCCTTAGCTTCCCAAAGCAAACAGCAAACACTAGTATAGAGCTTACCATGTGCTAAGCACTATTTTAAATACTTTACATATATTAACTCATAAATACAAACGTTTATTGTTTTCTCCCAAAAAGATATGTTACAAAGATATACTGATAGGAGTGAATGTTCTAAAAGCACCAGTTTTGCTACTGGCATTTCTTCATTCTTGGTAGAATTAAGGGCTGCAGAAATAGCAGTAGTCTGGGCCTCTTCTCCTCAGGCCATCTCAGAGGCCCAGAGCTCAAGAAATCTTAATGAGCCCACTACCTCAGCCTGCCATTTCAGTTTCTATAGAGAGGCTGAGGCAACCTGGCTGTATGAGCTCAAGAGGTCATCATGTTGGGAACATGGGAGAGGTGGGGTTCTGGGTACCTTGAACTTGGTGGGGTGGTTGTCTGGGATGCTGTCTCTGTTCAGGCAGCTGCAGCAGCCCCCCATGGTGTCAGAGCAGCCAGCCCACCCTAGGGAAAAACATAAGGGATAAGCATGTTGCCAATGTCAGCTCCAAAAAGCCTTGCTCTGGGGAACTCAGGCAGAACCACCTCGTGATCACCTACTCTGTGCAAGAGACCATGTGACACAGACCCTCCCTCAAGGAATTCACACTCTCAATCCAGGGCCAGAACACACATTGGGATAAACATTAAATCAAGTTAGAATGTGTTAAGGATTAATGCTGATGGGGAGATGGAGAGAGCTTCTCAGGGGTGACATTTGATCTGGCCCTTGAGAAGTATGTAGGATTGTGACCCATGTAATGACAGGAAGGGAGGAAAAGCATGGATATAAGTAGGGGCCCAGAAGACATGATCTGCGTCAGAAGGAGCTGGGTGCCAGCCGGAGGTCCTCATTCAGATTCAGCAAAGAAACTGTCACTTGGCAGCCCCAGACACTTTGGCCTGTACTTTTCTCTTTTTTCCTCCTTTTTTACCTCTCCCATTCCACTTCATCCAAGTTCTTTCTTTTCCTCCCTCACCACCATCCCTACATCCACCTCAATTTTATCTTTTTGATATTCTCTTCAAAGGAGTCATTACATAATGCTCATAAAGATACATTCAAAAGATTAAAACTGAGCACAATTTTCATAACCTTGATTGTGTATTTCTTCATTTAAAAAAATATGCTGGGTTTGTTCCCCTTTGTCTAAAGGGGAGAGCAGAAGCCTTACTATCTGGCGTTTCCCTCCAGAATTCACGTACTTTATTATATGTCACAACAGTCAGCCTGTGCCAAGGACGGAGAAGACACCACCCAGGCTCGAGTGATCTAAGGGAACAAGAAACACATGAACCAATCCCAACCAGAAGTTTTTTTTTTTTTTTTCCTTTTTGTCTTTTTTACTGACCGGTAACGGGATCGCAAACCTCGGTGTTGCGCCCGCACCGCGCTCAGCCAGTGAGCGGGAACCGGTCTCCACATGGGATCCGAACCCTCGGCAGGAGCGCCACCGCGCTCCCAAGCGGCGCACTCTCCAGTGCGCCACCGGGCCGGCCCCCAACCAGAAGTTTTAAGGGATTGCAACTTCCACAAGAAATGAGTCTGTAGGATTAGCTATATGTCCTTCTAGAACTCCTACTGAATGTGTAAAGCCTTGAACAATCCAGTGACCTGTACCTCCACTCCTCCCAACTTGGGAAGCTCCTGAAAACTGACCCGTACACACAACTCTTACCTCACCCAGGCCATCGGGGAGCTGACCATGGGAGGGGCATGGGGAAGGATTCCCACTCTATTCCTCCCGTCTTTGGTGGGGTGTCATGGCAAACAGTTTGCAGAGAAGTCACCTTGATCCCTCTGGGACACACCTGGGGCTCACCTAGCATAGGAGACAGAGACCACAGATTAATGGAAATCATCTATCCTCACCCCCACAACTATTAATGAAACTGACCGGCTGTCAGTCCATCCCACCTGGATATCTGTTCCAGGTCCTACTGGGACAGAAACACTAATGAAGAAAGCGAGATCAAGGGCTAAGTGACCACAAATGCCAAGTCCCACTGGCCCTGAAAGGGAGAGACTTTCCTAGAATCAGTGAGTATGAAGTCTAAGACAGCCCAAGACCTTTAGATCCCCTTCTGAATCCTGTTACAACCAACAACAAAACACCATCTACCTTTGCAGAGAACCTTAACTCTACAAAGATGTTTCTCAAAAGCACACTATGATGTACTGGAAAGAACACTGGCTTAAGATTCAGGACACCAATATTCTAGTCACTTTTTTTTTTTTTTTGGTCTTTTTCCATGTCCGGCAACGGATCGCAACCCTAAGTGTCGCCCCCGTACCGGACCGGGACCGGCAACGGATCGCAACCCTCGGCGTTGCTCCCGCGCCTCGCTCAGCCAGTGAGCGGGAACCGGTCTGTATGTGGGATCCGAACCCTCGGCGGGAGCGCCGCCGCACTTCCCAAGCAGCGCACTATAGCAGTGCGCCACCGGGCCGGCCCTCTAGTCACTTTTGTTGCTACTAAATGTCTTAGGGACTCTGTCAAATCGCACTCCCCCCCCACAACAGTCCCAACTCCCACCCCAAGGCCTTAGTTTTCAGGGTAAACATCTGTAAATTGTGGCACTTCTAGCTTAAATAACTTAGAGTCGTGTATGAGTATATAAGACAAAAATCACTAAAATGGACATTTTCCTGTTCCAGGACAAGCTCCTTCAATCTCACATTTAGAGGCTTGATAGACTTTCTGTCTCCAAAACTCTGAAAGACCTGATTTTAACATAAATGGTAACAAGCCAAAATTTCAGGGCACCTGAGCCCCAGGTAGTCAAGTCAACAAGCCAGGACTCTGGGGAACCTTGAAATCCCATCTTTCTACTCTAGAAAAATAATACTTCCCAGGGTCCCTTGTGTCCTGCATCCGTGGGCAATTTCCAGGTACAAGGACCCTCATCATCTTGACCTAGCTTATTCTCTGGGAGGAGAAAGCAGGCTCAGGGAGGTGTACACAGACTAAAGACAGGTGGCTGGGAAAATACCAGGCTTGAGCCATCAACAGGGTGAATCCAAGAACTTTAGGGTGCAAGATGACGGAAGGGTTGCACTTTTCCTTTTTCTATTTCCATATCAGGAGATATCATCAGGCAGCCGATTGAGAAAGGATTACATTGGACGTAATGGGGAGGAGGATCTAGTCTGGGATAGATATGGGTTGGGGTCAGGATTTAGAGGGGGTTATGGGGACTGAAAACGTACAAGAAGGCTTGGGGGAACGTGGGCAAGAATTTTGGATTTGGGCATGGTGCAAAGAAAATGGGGGAATATGAAGGATCAGAGGAATGTCAAGGTGGTGGAATCATCTGGGGGCATCTAGGAAAGAATGGTGGGTTTGTGGGGATAACAGGGGATTCCCAGTGGGTGAGAGGGTCCCGAAGGCTCCAGGAGATGCGAAGGTGTGCACGAGGGGATGGGGTGGGGTTTGGGGAGTGAGAGGCATATTTAGGTTGCAGGGTTGTCAGGGGGAATTTCTAGACACCCACAAGGAATGGCGAGGTCGGGACCGCGCGTCGTCCCTGGGTCCCCGCCCCCAGCCCCAGGGCTCCACCGCCCGCCCACCCGGGGCTTCCAAGGAAGGAGCAGAGACTGCGGCGCGGCGCGACATGGCCTCGGTGGAGCTGCTTCGTCCCCGCCCCGCCGAGCCCCGACTCACATCGCCCCGCGGCCCGGGCGGCGCCGGGTCCCGCTCCCGGGTCCCGCTGCAGCAGCCGCCGCCCGCCCGGAGCTAAGGCCTCCCCGCCCCGCCCCGCGGCCGCAGGGTCGGAGGTCACCGACAGCACCAACGAGACGCTGCGGGCGGGCGGACCGAGTGGGGGCGACCGGCGCGCGGCCTAGAAGGTCCCTTTGGAGGACTTTGCAGTCGGGAGCAGGGAGCATGCGCAGACACCAGAGGGCGCTCTCTGCCAGCGCCGGAGGAAGCCCGCCGGGAGCGGGGCGGAGCTTAGGAGGGGGCGGGGCGCAGAAACTGGGCTAGGGGACCAGAGTTGGAGCGTACTCTCGGGAGCAGGAAGGGGACAGTAGGCAGTGAGAAATACGAAAGAGAGGGGAGAGGATCTGAAGGGACAGAAGGGAGAAGGGCAGGACGAGGGACCCAGGAAAAGGGCTGAGGGGAAGGGGACGGAAGGGACCACCAGGAACAAGGGGGTGGACGCAGGAAATCACGGAGAGGGCGGGGCGAGGAGGCCAGAGGGAGGTTCTGGGGAGACCGCGGACAGGCATTTTCATTCCGCGAGTGGCTGAGGACCCGGTGTAAATGCGGCTCCAGGGTGTCTGCTAGATGCCCCCGGGGACGCAGTCCCGGCGCAAAGCCCACGCACGGCGGGGGGCAGAGGAGGCTGCACACTTTCCACCCTGAGGTCCCACAAATGCTTTCCTTCAGTCTGCAGCTCTAGGCCCCTCCTCGAGCCGTCCCTCGCCACCAGCCGGGGAGGGGAGGGCGGGGGCCGCTGGGGGCGTGGAAGAGGAAGAGCCGTGCCATCAGGGCGGGCAGAGGCGGGCCCTAGGGCCTCAGGGTGGGGACTGGGTGAGGGGCCCGATAGTGGGGTCTGTTCAGACCAGCTCGGACACTGGCGCGCAGCAAGGGTGAGACCCCAGCGGAGTCCCCGGCCCCTCCTCTAAAGTCCCAGCAGCCAGACAGGGAACCCCAGGGACTCAAACCACACCGCGTCCCCGCCCTGGAGGTGGGCCCCGAGAAGCCCTAGAAAAATTTTGAGGATCTGAAAAACAGAAAAACTTTGAGAGGGCACTTGGCAGGACCGGAAACCTCTCTCCTTTCTGCCTCCTACTGTCCTGGGAAACCTTCCCATCCCTCCACCTCCCTAGTCCCTAGGGCCTATTGGGCTGGGCCCTCCAGGACAGGGGTGAGTTGGGGATGTCTAGCTCCTGAGCTCGGTTGCACCTGCGTGGAGACAGGAGAGGGGACTCAGTCTTGTCCTTTATCTGAGTGGGAGGAGGAGGGGAATTATGGAAGGAATCAGAATGTTAGTAAGGTGGGTTCCAGTGCGAGGTGGAGTCAAGTTAGGCCGCCCTGGAGGTAATGAAAGAGTGAGGGGTAGAGGGCTCAGCGTTGTTTCAGTATGGAACAGTTACATGCAAACTAGAGCTAACTTGAAGAGAGTGCAAGTCCCGTTCTGGGGCCCCAGATGTCCCTTCCTTCCTCGGTGCCTGGGGGCCAGGGCTGTTAGGGGAAGTGCCTACTCATGGCCCTGAGTGTGAACAGCCCATCCCGGCCACCTTCCACAGGCAACCTGACCTAAAGGACAGAACAGGAAGGAAGCAGGTGGGTGTGGAGCCAGGAAGTAGGGAGAGGTGGCACAGAACATTTGAGGCAGGGGTGCTGAGGACCGTTCAGGGCTGGGAAGCAATATACCTGTTATAGTCCAAACCATGGCCCCAACCCTAAAGCTGGGTCTTATAGCGGCCAGAGATTTGATGATGGCCCTCCTATGCCGAAATGCAGTCAGAATCCATCCTAGATCTCAAAGGCCACCTCTTTCTAAGGCTTCCCTTAGCCTTCTAGTGTGGTCTTGGGCAAGTATTACTCAGTTTGTTTCAACTGTGAAGTGGGATAATAGAAACTTCCTAATAGGATTATTGTGAACATGGACAGTATTATGTAAAATTCTAGATTAGTCCTGAGCACAGAGTAAACATTATAGAAGAATTTGCTCTTGTTATTTTTTCCCCCAGGGTGTGTGTATATTTGCCCAGAGTTCTGGCCCCATTCTACCAGGTTTCATCCCTGTCTTACCTACTAGACTCTGAACTCCTCGAGGGCAGGGCCCATCTCTTCTCTATTTCAGTAGTCACTGCCCACCCCCAAGATACTGGGGTTCTATCAGGACCTGCAGAGATGAAAGCTGAAGAGGTGCGCTTAGATTATCCGATGAAATTGTTGTTATAGATAGAAGATAGAGCCCAAGATTTTCCTCTGTCCTTGGGCAGCTTATAGACTAGATGAGTTGCTGAGAGAGATGCAGGGAGCAAAGAGAGAAATATTAGGTGCTAAATCTTGGGATGCCAACTGGACTTATTTCTGGAGCTCAGGGAAAGGAGAGCTGATATGGGCCAGAGAAGCTGAGAAAGGCTTTCTGGGGTAGTCGTCCTCGAGCCAGGCCCAAGCCAATGTAGCTGGAAATGTGGGGCCTGCGTAGAGGGTAGTGAGTGCACCGTGCGTAATGATAGGAGCTAAGGCTGGTGAGGGGAGGAGGAAAGGGCCAGCGTGCCTTGAGGCTCACTGGAGAGGCAGAATGCCCTCTCCTTCCATTGTAGGCCTCTTCTTTCCTCATCCCAATCTTGGGAGACCCCAGAATTGGAACTTCAGAAACTCTGGAACTGAAAAGCCTGGCCTCAAGACCTGGCTCTGCCACTTACTAGCTGTTGGACCATGGGAATACCATTCATGCTCACTAATTTTCAGTTTGGCCATCTGTAAAATGGGGACAATACCACCTATGTCACCTGGGTGTTGGGAGGACTGAGAGAGATAATGCCTGTAAAGCACTTAGCACTGCCTAGCACATTGTAAGGGCCCAATAAATGGAAGTGTTCTTACTGTTTTTGAGTAGACTTTGCCACCAATGTCAGTGCTGAAGTCTGGCTGGCCCCACCGAGAGGACAATCCCACCCTTGTGGAGCCAGGTCCACCAGCCAACTCAGACAGTGATTCAGGCCATCTGCCAGGGGAGGACCCAGAGGATTCCTCTGCTCAGGTAATAAGAGTCCTGTCCTTCCTGTGAGACCAATGTGCCTCTGTCCTTTAGACCTCCCTCCCTTTCTGCCAACTGGGAGGTTGCCTTTATGACTAACCTCTTGTGGCCCTTTTCTCTTTTCAGGAATTTCTGTCTCTACAACCCCATCAGGACATGGGGGTTTGATTTTGAACTCATTCACATGAACATACATTACCTCTCCTAGGGGTCTGTGTTGTCAAAGCAGCCCCTAGGGGCTTTGGCCCCAAAGAGTTAAGGGGGGTGGTTTCAAGCATAAGAAAGGAAGCTACTTTGGGATATGGGGCCTCCCCGACCTCCCTCAAGGCAGACCACTGATGAAGGAGTGGATCAGCTGTCCTTGTGCTCAGTGAGGATCCTCCAGATAAGGGGGGATGCTTAGAAGTTGCTCTGGATTGGAGGAGAGGTGGCAATGAGGAGGAGAGAAAGAAGGGGAAAGGAAGGAAAAACCTAGCTCCACTCCTCCCCTTCTTCATGTTTCCTCAGGGTCCTGCAGTTCTCGGCTTGGGCCTCCCTCACCTGGACACCAATCAAGCCCCCAACTGGCCTGGGCTTCGAACTCTCCTGCAGCAGCTCCCTCCACAGGACAGTGATGTGGGTCTCCCTTTCCCATTGTCCTCTCTTGCCTCTCGCTCCTCTGGTTACTTAGTATGGAAAGAACCTGGGCCTAGAGGTCAGGGGACATGGATTTAAGGCCTTGCTATGCCACTAGTTGGGAAAAGTCATTCCCCCCAGCCTGAGTTTTCTAATCTACATAATGGGTACAAATAACATCTTCTCTGCCCACCACAATGCTTAGTTCAAGAGCAAATGAGAAAATGGACATGAACAACTTTTGAAACCAATAATGGAATGTATAAATGTAGAGTATGGTTATTAAGTATTTATTGAGGCCCTACATGTGCCCACCCTAAAGGCTTACAACTCAGTTGGGGAGGCAATGGAGTATACGAAATAATTATAGAAAACACAAAATGGGAAGTGATACGGAGCTCTAGCTCATTGGGAGCAAGGACCTAAATATATGGTGACAGGGTTAGGTGCTGTGGGCCTGTCAGGACCTGAGTGATGACCACTCCTAGGGTGCAGGTGAGACTGAGGCGGACTTTCTCAGGCTCCTTTCCCTTTTTTCCCCTCCTTCTCAGGGCCCTTCTATGCTATCTCCTGCACCTCCCTGAGTTTCTACAATCTTTTTCTGACCCAGCAGCTTAGACTTCTTTCTCCAATCAAACCTCAGTCTTGCCTGCTGGGGCTCTCCTAGTTATAGTGCAGGCCTGTTTCTGCAGGAGTGCTACTGCCTGGCCCTTGGGGAGGAGGAGCTGGCCGAGCTGCGGCTCTTCTGTGCCCAGCAGAAGCAGGAGGCCCTGGGACAGGGGGTGGCCCACTTGGTACCTCCCAAGCCTGAAGGACACACCTGTGAGAAGGTATGGCATCCCTCCCTCCCCCGAACATTCCTTTTTCTCCACTCTTTGCCCTCTCACTTCTGCAGAAGGGGTTAGCTTCTGGGACTCTGGTGGAAAAACAATTTAGGGATTGGCGGTCTGACAGATGTTAGGAAAAGGAGAAACTAAGTTCGGGAGTTCTTGGTGGAGGCTGCAGTGGGGGTGGGTTTACCAGGGTAGGGGAGAACAGTTAGGTTGGGATTGGGATGGAAGATCCAGGAGGGAAGCTAGGTGGGTAGTGCCTACTCTAACCAGCCCAGCACCCTTCCTGGCAGTGCAGGGAGCAGCTGAAACCAGGGGAGTATGCAGTGTTTGCAGCCCGGGCCAGGGAGCAGCGCTGCTGGCACCAGCCTTGCTTTGCCTGCCAGGCCTGTGGACAGGCCCTGATAAACCTCATCTACTTCTACCACGATGGGCATCACTACTGTGGCTGTCATCACGCTGAGTTGTTACGGCCACGCTGCCCAGCTTGTGATCAGGTACAGCCCTGAGGGGAGGGTCTGGGAGGTCTGCCTAGAGTCCATCATGGCAGGATGTCAGGGGACATCCTCCTGGGCCGCAGCCTCTCCCAGGATCGCGAAGTGGAATAGGGAGATCTAGGCACCAGCCCGGAACCACCCTGTTACCTGTGATCTGACTTGCGTTCTGGGCACGTGGGACCCGCTGCCTTTGTATGTGCCCTCCTCCATGGCAAACAAAGTCCCTCAAATTTTCTTAAACTCAAAGAGTTTCTCTAGAGCAGGGACTCTTGGACAGATCTTCATTTCATTATGCTGGGGGCCCAGTGCTGTGCGGTTCATGCTAGAAACTCCTTTAATATTAGCATAAGAGGCAGCGCAGAGCCCTGGGTTGAGGGTCCAGGCGGCCCTGGTCGCAGTTCCGGCTGTGCCACCTGCTAGCTGGGGCATCCCGGCTAAGCCAACCAGCCCTCCCGGCGTCCGACAATGGCTGAGTAGAACAAATGGGAAAGTTTGTAGACGTGCTTTAGGGTTAACTGGGTATAAGGCGTGGTTATTGGGTGAATGAATGAGTGAGTGAATGAATGAATGAACCATTCCCCTCTCCCTCTCTCAGCTTATCTTCTCCCGGCAATGCACCGAGGCGGAGGGACGGCGCTGGCACGAGAACCACTTCTGCTGCCAGGACTGCGCCGGGCCCTTGGGCGGGGGACGTTATGCATTGCCGGGGGGCAGCCCCTGCTGCTTCGGCTGCTTCGAGAGCCGCTACTCGGATACAGTCTCAAGCCCAGCCGGGGCACTGGAAGGGCGGACATCCCTTGGTAAGGGAGGAGAAGGCGCACATCAAAACAGGAGGGGGCGGTGGCTTGGGCTGGGCTGAGGGGGGGGTTCTCCCAGGCTGGGACTCTCGCCCCAGTCCCACACCGTTCCGTCTCTCTAGCAGAGTCCCCATCTCCCCACCGCACCCCCCAGACCCGAGCCTCGGTGCCCGCAGCTCTCACCACGCGTCCCTGGCCGGAGCGCTCCAAGGGCCTCCAGAACCAACCCCGCGCCACGATCGGGGCTGCGGCGTCCGACTAGCTCCAGGGAGAGGGACGCGGCCGCCCTCTGGTGGGCGGAGGCGGGGGACCCTGGAGCACTCGGGACGGCAGCGCGCACGGCCTGGGGCGGGGCGGGAGGCTGGGCCCAACCGAGGCCAGCTTCAGCGGTTCGCCGCGCCGGGTTCTGAGAGGAGGAAACTCGGAGCTCTGAGATGGGTGTTTCCGATCCGGCCCGGAACAGCGGAGGCGGAACCCGACCGAATCGAAGGAAAAAACCGTGCCTCCTTGAAGACAGTGACAGTCCCCGTAGCAGCCCTTCTCTCCGCCTCTACCGTCGGCTCTAGCCTGAAAACTCAAGAGGGGGCTGCTTGGGTCTAGTCCTGAGCAGGAGTGCCGAGCTGAGGACCTGGCGGAGGCACCCAAAGGGCGGGAGCAAGACCGCCTGGAGGCGCCCCAAAGTCCCAAGGAGGACGCCCCCTGCTTGACCTGCTCCTCTTCCTCTGACTCAGAACCCGAAGGCTTTTTCTTAAGCCAGCGCCTTCCCCGGCCCTGGAAGACCCCCAGAAGCCTCCAAGCAGGAGACAGCGACACCTCCAGGAAGCATTGCAGCATTTGCTAGTGGCGCAGCCTAAAGATCTGTAAGGCGGAGAAAGGGGGTTCTCCTTCCCTATGTAAATTCTAGCCTGAACGCAATCAGGGATACGCCTGGAAGAGGCGGCGAGATGACAAACTTGGAGTGCGCCCCCCTCAGCACCGCGCGTTCTATGATTTTTTAATGGAAACCTTCTTGGGGAACCCCATTCCCCAAAGCTGCGCTTCCCCTGCTGAGCTAGCTCCTACCCCCACGCCCACAAACTGGGACAGCCCGGTCCGCAGTATCCTCCTCCTGAGCCAATGAAGTGGTCACTCAGCACGTATGACAGTGACCGTCTGGGGAGCCGGAGGTCTGGAGGGAACCGGGGGTGGAACCTGGAGCAGGGGACGGTAGAGTTGGGCCGCGCTCCGCCCCTTGCAGAGATCGCGGACGCGCAGCCGGGGGTCGTCCATCCCTCCCAGGCTTGGAACCAAGCTGGAGCCATAGCACCCTCTGCCGGCCAGCAGCCGGCGGAAGTGCCAGAACGGAAGTTGCGTGATCCGCCAGCGCCGAGGAGGTGTGTCCTGCGAAGCCAGTACGGAGCCCGACGGTGGTGCCATGGCTTCTAGCGGGGTCCCGGTGGGCGCTGTCGGCTCGGCAAACCAAGCTCCTGAAATTCCGGACAACGTGGGAGATTGGCTTCGGGGCGTCTACCGCTTTGCCACCGATAGGAACGATTTCCGGAGGTAACCACGCCCAGGGAGCTTGGATCCTCTGGCCCTGGCGTCCGTATACATTTATTTCCCCTCCTTCTCGAGGTTGGCGCCCCCGGGATTTTTTAGTTGTCAGCACAGTGGCTTCTTCGTGGCTCTGGCTGTCCTTTGCCGAGGTCTTTGACCGGGAGAGTTTCCCTGTGGCAAAAGCATTCTTCCTGCCATGTGGCTATATCTATAGAAAATGTCACCCTGACCAAGGGGGCCGGGGAAAGGAGGCGCCAACACATAAACAGGCTTTTCGGCCCTGGACGAATATTTACTTACCTAGCCTTTGGATTTGATCTTGCTCTTGTTAGGCACAGAAACGAACTCCAAATCTCCACGTGGTCTTGGGCAGCCTACCAAGTATCAACGCCTTGGGAAGGTGGTGATGATGGGAAGCCATTTCCCCCCGTATTTTTAGTTAACCACACAACTGACTCAGTGACCACAGGGTTAATGAAATACATTCTTTTTTCCTAGGAACTTGATCCTCAATTTAGGACTCTTTGCTGCGGGAGTTTGGCTGGCCAGGAACTTGAGTGACATTGACCTAATGGCACCTCAGCCAGGAGTGTAGCCAAGTAGGTGAGCACTTCACCACCACTCTTCCGTGTCTTAAGAGTCCTAGAGGATGGGAGAAGCAATAGTTTGTACCAACTGTTCTCGAAATATAGGAAAGAGACTTGATGTAAAACCCTTGGCTGTTCCTAGTTAAATGTATTTCCAGGTGTTGCAAGGGATTTGAATATCTCTTACCAATTTTCCTCCAGTGTTTACATTACTAATGCCACCCATTGTCATCTGATTGCAGACATATGGAATCGCTGTGCTGTACCCGAACCTTCCAAAAACAGAGCCTACCTACAGTCTGTGACCACCACAAGATATGTCCTGATGGCAGCTGAAGTTTGATTCAAATGGGCACCTTCCCCCTTCCCTGCCTGGTTTCTCTTTGTTCTTTGAGTCCACTCAGAATTCCATTCTTTGGTCAGCAGTCAGGCTTCAGCTAAAGTGTTGCCTCTGTTCTGTAAAGTTCTGTACATAGTTCCTAAGTTTCGGTAAGGGGGGTGATTTCTTTGCTCTTGTCCTGAGGAATAACAATGATGTTTTAACAAATATTTGAAATAAAGATTGCACACACAGACAGCCATTTTATTCTTTTAATAAGAAATTTCCACTTACAAAAACAAGGTGTAAAAAGTCAAGATTTACAAAAATCATAAAAACATGATTTATATTTCACACACAAAAGAGACGGAAAGCCCCAAATATGGATTGTAATGGAGGTGGTTTGCTTCATTTGAAGAAAAAAAAAAGAAATGGAAACTAACCACCATAAATTGATGTTACAGTAGCATGAAGCTTATTCTTGAGTAATTTCCATTGTTGAGCAGTACTAAGGGAAGAAGCCATTTGGTGTTGCATAGCATTTTAGTGCACCAGGTGGGTTTTCCAGGCACCAGGGAGGCATTGTTGCAGGAATAGGGTAAGGTTTGGTGGCAGAGAGAGGGTAGTGATGTGTAGGTGGAGGCAAGGTGCAAGCAAACCTGGACAGAGGGCACTAAAGTGACACTGCTGAGAAGCTTCCTTTACAAGGAAATAGATGTTTTCTGACCCTAAAATTCATGGTAGTGCCACTGTTCAGGGTTTTGGGGTTCTCTGGAAATGGAAATGAACTGGCATGGGAAGACTCAAGTATAGTCATAAAAAGAGGTGGAATAGGGACAGGTTTCCCATGGCAATTTTTTTTCTAGTCAATTTATTCTACTATGCATTCTTTGAAATACTGCTTTTATGTGCCAGCTCTCCTGTGGAACTAGTCCGGGATTAAAGGACATGAATTGGAAGGGAAGGTCAGTATAAATGGCCTAATTGTTACAGCTGATAGATGTTGTCTCTAGCAATTTGTTTGCTGAAGTTAGACAAAATAGTCTTTCTTGACCCTGCTGGCAGAAATCTTATTGAGAAAGCTGTTTGAGAATTATATTTTTTTAATGTTAAAAAAAAAAAAACACCCACCATTCTCTTGAGAATATTAATCCGATAGATCCTATTTGATAGGAAGAAGGTACAAGCTGTGTGAATGCAGGCCTGTGGTTGGCTTAACATGAAGCCAAGACCCTTCAGAGTCTAAACTGGGATCACAGATGCTCTGAGAGGGGTCTTCAAAAAGTTCATGGAAAGATTCCGTGTGTATGTATGTGTGTCTAACTGGTAAAGGGATCGGAGCCCTTGACCTTGGTGTTATACCACCACGTGCTAACCAACTGAGCTAACCAGTGAGACTCAGTATTATCTTTTAATTCTATTTTCCCACGAACTTTTTGAAATTCCCTCATATCTTACTGGGTATTAAGACGAAGAAGAGTCACATACATGAGAACAAGGCTCAGGACTGAAGTCAGTGCTGTGCAAATGGTGACCAGGGAGGAAACTTAAACTTTCACTCTGAGACCTGCATCAAACCATTGCTAAGATAAGAAATACCAGCACATCCTGTTCTTTATAGGAACAAAAATTAGATCCTTAATGTCTGCAATCTGATCTACTTGTAATTGTGAACAGTTCTATTTGATAAAAATTTCCAAAGCTGAAAATCAGTATCAAGCAAAAATTAAGACATGGCATCTTCCAAAAGCGTAATTCAAATTTCATTCCAAATTTAATGTTTTAGCTTCAAGTAATAGTGTTTACTGTTGGCTGGTTTTTAAAGCCATAATGTTGGTTGGGTAAAGTTTCATCTAAACTGGCTTAATTCTTCAAAGTGATAAGAATTTAGTAAATAAAGCTAACAAATCAACAGTTTCCAAAAATTTTGATGAATAATTGTTAATTTCTGTAAATGAAAGTGCTGGTTTTTTATCATTGCCAACAAAACATTCTCCCTAAGGGAAGTCAATTTTACATCCTGTCACACTTTTCAACCCTGGCTTGTTAACACATAGTACTATCAAAATCTCTAGCTAAATTTTATCTTTTTTTTTTTTTTTTTTTTTTTTTAAATGACCGGTAAGGGGATCTTAACCCTTGACTTGGTGCTGTCAGCACCACTCTCAGCCAGTGAGTGAACCGGCCATCCCTATATGGGATCCGAACCCGGGGCCTTCGTGTTATCAGCATCGCACTCTCCCGGGTGAGCCACGGGCCGGCCCTCTAGCTAAATTTTATCTTTTTGTTTTTTTTTTTTTTTAAATGACCGGTAAGGGGATCTTAACCCTTGACTTGGTGCTGTCAGCACCACTCTCAGCCAGTGAGTGAACCGGCCATCCCTATATGGGATCCGAACCCGGGGCCTTCGTGTTATCAGCATCGCACTCTCCCGGGTGAGCCACGGGCCGGCCCTCTAGCTAAATTTTATCTTTTTGTTTTTTTTTTTTTTTAAATGACCGGTAAGGGGATCTTAACCCTTGACTTGGTGCTGTCAGCACCACTCTCAGCCAGTGAGTGAACCGGCCATCCCTATATGGGATCCGAACCCGGGGCCTTCGTGTTATCAGCATCGCACTCTCCCGAGTGAGCCACGGGCCGGCCCTCTAGCTAAATTTTAAAAACCATGCCAGCAGAAGTATGGAAAGAGTCCACAAAAATGACTGCTTGCCTCAATGCTATAGTAGTTATTGTGTATTTAGAGCAATATGTGGGTTGAAGGAATACGTAATTGTTAAAGTCATAGCCCTAGACCTAGAGAATGGTTATTAAACATGTAAGATATAAAACTCACAGTTATATTTAGAAGGTGCTTTTCAGCGTTAGGGCTGAACTTAAAAAGAATCTGAACCACCAGGAAGATGCATACTTACCTGGTAAAATATAAGTGGCCATGAGAAGTTTTATCCTTAAGATCCAACCTCTTCACCTAATCAGTCCACTAACTAGGCTGGGGGACCCAAATGCCAAATGTACTTTGAGGGGTGAGCTTTTTAAACACGCTTTGATGAAGTCTCATGAGCTTAGTGGAAACCTTAAAGTTGGAGTAAAAGAAACAGGCTGTAGACAGCCCTGTAGTGAGCAGACTGGGTATCACCACCTTCCATAGCCGCTCAGCACCATCCCAGTCAGCACCTGCCAGGGAAAGACTGCAACAGGGTCTTTGTGCCTTCTCTTGTGCATCATTCCCTTTGCATATTACATAGTGCACTGGCTTGCTTTACAATCTAAAAGTTCACACACGGGATTGTTTTCTACACTGCTTCCTGACATTCTGTACAGAAGAACTTCAGAACCAATGAAGGATCCACTTCAGGAGGAACCATTTTTGTTTGCCTTCTACCATAAGTTGCCCAGCATTAGTTATTGTTTTGATAAAGACTAAAGGCCTTTCTGTACATTTGTGCTCTCCCAACCGGCTGGAAAGGCAACCCTTCCACTGATAAAATATAATGCCAGACAGGGATATAGTATACATTTTTAGGAAGAGGTAGTCTCCCAACCTGATTTGAAAAGGCCCGTGTTAATGTTTGGAACATAAAAGAGGTGTGAAAAACAATGAGATACATAGTCTGCCTTGAAAAACAGCTGTTTGGTGAATAATCACAAATACAAAGAATCTGGACATTACAATAAAATGTTAGAACTTGCTGGTAATAATAATTTGCATTCACACACAAGAGATATGAAATGCTTTTAAAAAGTCTGTGATACCAAATGTCTTTAAACACTACACAGACCCATTTGCCACTTGAAATGACAAGAAGGAATCCGGAATCCTTTCCCTTAATCTTTTCAATCCCATGCAAACCATAATTGGGTACAAGGCACCAAATTTTATGAATCGTATAAAATTAGTTCACAAAGCTTTATCAGTAAGTAAAACAAACTCCATTTCTCCCTCCCTGCCTGCCCACCCACCTCCCACCTCCCACGTCCCACCCCCAACCAAGTTTTCATTCTGTACTACTGTAGTCCTCTCTCAGGCTTACTCTGGGGCATGCCCCATTGCCAGCCAATCCACCTCACTGGTTCTTCCCCTGTACTTGGATGGAGCTGTAAGCATGGCCAGAGTAGGGAATTCATACAATCATTGACTCTAGAAGCCTTGCTATTAAAAACAAAAATAAACTCTGCTATTGAGTCCATAGGACACATTAACATTTTCTAGTTTCCAATTTTATTCATGACATTTTAAGAGACATCTGGAAATTCTTTACAGTGTGGCACCACTCTCCCCTCAGCCTGAGAGGGGCTGGATAAAAGCTGGCAAGGGCTCTGCCCACCATTTAATAAGAGCTTCAGTTCCCGGCTGCCGAGGGCATTCCTAGTATTTTTTACTCTAGCATGGATGCTCATCTCAGAGGCCACCACAGGTATGAGGGTCAGGCTAGACTGAGGTAAAAATCCTTTTTGAGGGCCAGGATGCATTCATCTTGGCTGGCTACAGCAGCAAGTAAACATGCCAGCCAACTACAAAGGGTTCCTGGAACAGGATTCTCAGCTACTTGCCCTGGGAGAGAAGCAGGCCCTTTAAGGTTCAGTTAGATCTTGGGTTTGATTTGGCAGCATCTAGTCAACTTCTACCTGGTTCTCATTTTCTTCTCTTTAGAATGTTTCAATTTAATATAAGATGCAACTGAGACATTCATCTACTTCCAATAGGTAAATAAATTAAAGGCAAAGGGACATTTCCCTCACAACAGATATTAGCTTATGTAGCAGGGAACTCTTTTCTTCAATAAAAATCTCCTTAATTACTAACTTCGTAACAGTGTCTAGTGCTGCTGCCTTTGGGTACCTGAGGTGTCAGTGACTGCAGTAGGCACCTTCAGAAGTATGTAGGTCAGGGGAGACTCTGATGTTTGTTTCTATTCCAACTAATTTTAAATGATTTTATTAATTTGACAAGTGAGTGCTCAGCTAAATTAAGCACTTATTTTACAAAGTCTTTAATCTGCTTAATAATCCTTATAATATTTGGTATAAAACTATTTTTAAAAATTAAACTTGAAGATCTTTTAATTTTCCACTAAATGTTTATTAATAAGTATTTCCCCCTGGACAGCCTGAGGGGTAAAGTAGATGCTCTATTAGTTCTTCTCTATCTTGTAAGTTCTTTTTCTAGAATAATAAATATAAGGTTTAATGAAAGATGAGGCACAATTCATAGTTTCCTTTTTACTCTCCTTGGGTTTTTTGTTTGCTTTTTTAGTTAATGGGCTTTTTTTTTTTTTTTTTTTCCTTTTGCCAAAAAAACTATTTTTAAAAATTAAACTTGAAGATCTTTTAATTTTCCACTAAATGTTTATTAATAAGTATTTCCCCCTGGACAGCCTGAGGGGTAAAGTAGATGCTCTATTAGTTCTTCTCTATCTTGTAAGTTCTTTTTCTAGAATAATAAATATAAGGTTTAATGAAAGATGAGGCACAATTCATAGTTTCCTTTTTACTCTCCTTGGGTTTTTTGTTTGCTTTTTTAGTTAATGGGTTTTTTTTTTTTTTTTTTTCCTGTTGCCACAAAAAGTCATTACCAATCCTACTGACTTAAAAAAAAAAAAAGTGGATCTCAAGTGTATAACTTCACATCAGAGCCTCTGGCAGCATGGGCAGCTGTGACACTTTAAAACAGTGTCCAGGAGAGGGTGAGCCCAGGCAAAGCTTATACAAAGAAGCCTGCAGTAGACAATTTAAACCAAACAGCATAAAAAATGCCATACGCTATCGCTTCCAAATAAAAGCTAAATATTACAGAAACCTCACAGTGTTGGAAAAAGCAAGTTTAATTTAAAATATAGTCACTCCTTCCCTATCAGGGTGAGCTATTTCTGTCTGAATTTCCTCCATGTCTCAGTGCTGTCTGGCAGGTCCTATGGGAGAGTTCATCTCAAAAGAGGTCAACAGCAAATGCAACAGATCTGTTCGGGAAATGTGGCTCATCGACATTGCTAAAGCTATAACTCTCATTCTTTAGCCTCACTTCCCCCACTTCCCACCCCTCCCCAAACTCCCTTCCACATCTATTCTCTTCAAGTGACAACTGTATTCCTACCTGAATTCAAACATTAATTTGATATACTCAGTCAAAAGATGAGCATTCATAGTGACAGTTCCAGGCTCACTTCAGCAACCACTGCAACAAGAGTTAGGATTTGCCTTCACTTTCACAGGTGAGTCTAAGTGAAGGACTGAGAAGGGAAACTCCGTAGGGCCTAATGAGGAGGTGTTCATCTGGGTAATTTCATTCCATTTGGAACCTGACCCAATTGAAAAAGAAAGATATATTTTTGCTTGCACTGGAGAACAGGGCGTTCTTGCTTTTTTCTCTGATGGATGGGTGGGTGAAGCAACAATAGGGGTTATCAGATTTGGGAGGCAACAGGCCAAGGCCATCAGCAATAAACTGTTCAGGCATGTAGGGGGTAGATTCCTGAGCAATTCCCATGCCCTAGGAAAGTAAGAGCCCCCAAACCTTGAGAACATGAATGTTCTAGCTCTCCAGGTGCAAGAAAGGAGCTGCAAGCTAACAAGCTGCATGCTGCACCAAGGTGAGAATGGGTGATAGGCATTCAGATAAGCCTTGTACCACTGGCTATCCCTGCCCACCCACAACTGAGTTAAGAAAGCCTCAGATAACTGACCTAAGGACCACTTTAAACCAAACCATGTACTTGCCGTAGACCTGAACCAGGGCTCTGCTATAGAACTGGGATAGCCAGGAGTGCCCTTTGGCTCAGCATGCAATAAAGGACATGTACTAGTCTATTGCTTCCTTTTATAAACTGCCCCTTCTTTAGAATGAAGGGATGTTCATGCCATTCTCAGGAGAAATGTGGAATGATTAAATGACAGCAGCAGCCAGGGAGGGTATGACACGTGAAAACTCTCCCATTTTGCATGGAGAAATTTGCTTCGTGCATTTCATTCCACTCTTCAACTACTATGCCCTAAAAAAGGAAGTTTAAAAGTTTTCAACTCTTGAAGCTTACTTCCTTTGTGGGAATAATTCCTTAGACTTCATCACCCACCTCGGAACCAATCCCATCCAGCAACCTGCTAGCCTAGGGCCCCTCATGTGCTCTGTTGAGAACTGCTCACATCAGGAGGGTTCTGGTGCTGCAAGAGGGTCCTTATTAGCAGAGGCATCATATAATGGAGAGAAAGTATGGCCACTCTCCTGGCTAGATATGATCAATTTATCTCCTCTTTCCTACACCCAGATCGCTCTATATTCAGAAGCAACTGATGAAAGAATCTTCATAGAAGTTACTCCTTTTGATTTGTTTTGTGAAAGGAGGGAATTTCCAAGTCCATTCAAAAGAAAGTGACTATGAAATATATGAGGACATGAATCACCTGGTATGTTCTATGCTAGACCCAGTGAGGCAAACCCTAGTAATCTGTTCCTGCAGTAAAGCCTTATTTCCTACAAAAGGAAAGATGTATGGACACCAATAGTTTAAAAGCAAGCCAGTCTTTGATACATGCCTCCCATTCAGGTGAATGTCTGTGGTCTGCCTTCATCGTTGTTGCTGGACTGCACCTGAGCTTGGAGTTGGGTTTCTGAGATTCTTGCATTGCCCTGCACTGTTCTTTGAGTGTAAAAAAGGATGTAGGCCTGGGTTTTGCACACTTCCTCGACACTGCATACATTCAGCTTTGAGTCATTGCAGTGGACCCAAAAACCTAGGAAACCAAAGGAGAAAGAGAGAAAATGACTACCCAACTTACATTTCCAGTTAGCAGGCAAAACTAGAAGATGAAGAAAGGGACAGAGGAGTTCTAAAGAGATCCAACCTCTGATTACTGGTAGGGGAAGGGACAAGTAAATAAAACCAACAAGTTAATGTAACTATTGGCTTTAAACCCACCAAACCCCACCACAATACTGCTTAAAATGTTGCCTGACTATAATCTTTGTCTTTGTTTTACTCAGGCTTTTTCATTGTCCATTAGGGCCTTCTACAAAAACAGCCAGGATACTGGGGGCTAAGCAATGGGAAGAGGAGGAGAGAAGAAATGGAAATATAAGGGAGTGATAAAGGAAAATTTAGAAGGAATAGAATAGTATTTGTTCACAGGCTCTGGCAGTCCCAAGGGCTGAGGGGTTCAAGATCAGTGCACTGCTGAAAATGTATCTGCAGCCCATCTGCCTCAGTACAGTAGCTAGGAGGCTTCACTCTGGAGGATAAGGACTGAAAGCTCCTTAGGAAGGGCCCTTGCCGTGGTAAGGGAACACTTCCCATGGTAAGGGAAGTAAGTAGTAAGGACATAATAAGTGTTCAGTAAATGTCCTCAGCTTTATTTTGAGCTGGGGCTAGTGAAAGTCATATGTCCATGAAGTTACATGGGTACTATTGTATATGCATAACCAAGAAGGAAATTGAGGTCTGTAGAAGTAGCATTACTACCACAATAGTAATACTACTGATAACCAATCCTATTGATAATAATAACCTCCAACACTGAGCAAGCACTACGTGCTAGGTACTGTTCTAAGCACTTTTACACGTCAGTTTGTTTTAATTCTTAGAACAATTATATCTTGTTACTTAGAGATATATCCAAAATTTGCATCCAACTTTTGTAATTCTTTCCACTGGATTTTAATGTATGTAATTTCCCCCTAGGTGACCTGTGGGATGGAATAAAAGAAAAGCAATAAAATGTGGACAAAACAACCCTTTTCCGTGTCCCCCACCCCACAGAGTAAAGCGCACGCACCTCCCTCTGTGTTGTAGCAATAGGCTGTGTAGTGTCCTGAGCCAAACCCTTTCCCGTGATGCATGACCACTGCGGAGAGATCATAGGCAAAGGTCTCTTTGTCAAGAGAGGAGAGCATGTCCCTGCAGCAGTAAGGTTCCATGGTTAATACCTGGTCAAAGACGACATGGACCCCAATCTTCTCTCGATGATTACGGCCAGACCACCTAGAAAATGGATATAAACTTCTTACTAGTAAAAACTGGCCTATTTATCATAGTTAGAGGTTGGTAAAACAGGGAACCAAGAAAACTTAACCTTCTGGCTTTGATTTTCCCATCTATAACAGGGTAGTAACCAATGTCCACATATATTAGCTGTGGATGTACCATGAAGTACTCTGAACCTAGAAATCCCCAAACAAACAATTCAGGCAACGATCTTTTGTTTTTTTATTTATTTATTTTTTTCCTTTTTGTCTTTTTTTTTTTTTTTTCCGTGACCGGCAATGGGATCGCAACCCTCGGTGTTGCTCCCGCACCTCGCTCAGCCACTGAGTGGCTGGTCTGTACGTGGGATCCGAACCCTCGGCGGGAGCACCGCTGCGCTCCCAATCGGCGCACTGTAGCATGTGCCACCGGGCCGGCCCTTTTTTTTTTTTTTTTTTTTCCTTTTTGTTTTTTTTTTTTTTTTTTTCCGTGACCGGCAATGGGATCGCAACCCTCGGTGTTGCTCCCGCACCTCGCTCAGCCACTGAGTGGCTGGTCTGTACGTGGGATCCGAACCCTCGGCGGGAGCACCGCTGCGCTCCCAATCGGCGCACTGTAGCAGTGTGCCACCGGGCCGGCCCTTTTTTTTTTTTTTTTTTTTCCTTTTTGTTTTTTTTTTTTTTTTTTTCCGTGACCGGCAATGGGATCGCAACCCTCGGTGTTGCTCCCGCACCTCGCTCAGCCACTGAGTGGCTGGTCTGTACGTGGGATCCGAACCCTCGGCGGGAGCACCGCTGCGCTCCCAATCGGCGCACTGTAGCAGTGTGCCACCGGGCCGGCCCTTTTTTTTTTTTTTTTTTTTCCTTTTTAGGCAACGATCTTTTAGTAGTTTACTGCCTGTCCTTCTTTTCACAGATTTTATACTTCATCCTTAAGATGAATGTACATAAGCCCAAGTGAGGCTAGAAAATCTTCAAGCACAGACATCTTGGGCAAGCTAGACAATTAATTAAACAGGGCCATGAGAACAGAAGCCCAGTCCTTGCTGGGCCCCAACATCAACTTGCCTTACTAGATGTGAACTATGGAAAGCACAAGGTCTCAAGGGAATAGGCTTCCCCTCCCAACACCAAAGAAGACATTTGCCCTCAACATAGCCTTTGAAACAGCTATTCCCATAGCTCACAGCCATGTGGGACTCCCAGAGCAAGCTCACCTGAATCTTTTAAGGTGCAGCCGGAGGACCTGAGGTAGTCTGTAGATCATTAACTGCTTTCTAGCTTCACTCAGAACAAGTGGTTTTGGATTGGATTTTCGTCGTTTGCCTATATGGTTTGGGAAGGTATAAAACATAGGTTGTGAGGAGTCTCATTCTATGCTATGGCAGAGAAAATGACTTGCCAGTCAATATGCATTCTCCTTATTTTTCAGTATTTTAACCTCAATTTTACTAGGGACAGCAAAACTCTCTGTAACACTGCATTTTTTAGCTTCACCTGCCTGCATGGTGTGACCATGGGAGTTCTGGCTAACATGAAAGGAATGACTGTGTGGCACTCTTGGGATGGCTGCTTAAGGACGGCTGACTCAGTTGTAAGGTGCATCCCTTTGTCCTTCTCACTGTCTGCAACTGCTGGAATTCCTCTTGGACCACGAGGTAACCTTGAGGATGTAAGCTTTGCACTAGGACAGTAAAGCAGAAAGACAGAAGGAGCTTGGGTCCCTGCTGACCTGCAGCCACCATGCCAGCCCCTGAATATCCTTCAAACTTCTTTTATTTAACAGAAAAATAAAATTATATCTCATTTTAAGTTGTTATTAGGGTTGACTGTTGTAAGCAACCTAACCTAATCCTGATATATCTACTTTCAAATTTTTGCCATCAGCAACTTAGAATTTTTGCCATCAACAACAAAGTTGGTTTGGGTTTAGAATGGTACACTCCTGATATCAGGTATTTATTACTGGATTGTAACAGACAGTCACTGCAACAGCCTGCACACAGAGTAGAAGCATATGTTAGGGTTCTATGACTTTATATATGGGTCTGTAACTTAAGATGCAACATAATATAACTTTAAAAAGGTCTTTGTTTCCACTAGATAGGCTCAATTCTATTTCCTCCTCACAGCTAGTTGTATGCTAATAGATAAGTTATTCAAAACTCTGAATCTCAGTTTCCTTACCAGTAAAATGAGGAGTAATGCATGAATTTCAGGCTTAGGAAAATGATAAAAAGGATAAGACTACTAAAGGACACAGTATTTAAACATTTTTCAGCATGATTTGCTTAGGGCACATACAAATATTCAGAAATAAATTTTGCTGGTTTTATAATTTTATGCTATACAAAGTTTTTGAAACATGTTTCTTGGATAAAAGCACAGTGCTGGACATGCAGGACAAGGCTGACAAGCCAGCTAAATTCACCCAGCCCAAAGCAGAACCAATGCTCAGACTCTTAATTTTGTTCTAAAGCTACTGAACTGTGGGAGAAATGCATTACTAAATTTCAGCAAATAAAAAATGGAAACAAAGTTCTCTTAGTTTCCATCAGAAGCCTTCTCTATAACCAATTACTGATAACTGCTCTGTTACTACATTAACTCAATCAATAAATGGATAGGAATATAAAATTAGTGGTCCACTGTGGTGCCTGCTAATTGTCTTTGAGCTGTTGATATCATGGTCTCTGTCTGAAAAGCCTGGCATCTGATTCCAAGTCCCATCTGTACCACTCGTGAAAGGTAGCAAATCACAGCAAGATGACATATACACAGAGCTTTCTGTGACAATAGGATGTGGAGGTATTGCTTCTCACAATGGACTGGATCAGAATGAGTGTGCCTTAGGAGAAGGTTTTACAAGGGCATATGGTCACAATATGGGAGGGCATGAACAGAAAGAGAATTCAAAGAGGGACCTGGCCTTATTTTTACACTCCTTTTCACCAGATTTGAAAATTACTGCAGCTCTGCCTGGGAACCCTGGCAGTGACTGCCACCCTCAGTAGAGGGAGTATGTGAGTTAAGATGAAGACAATACAGAATCTGGCTTTGTTTCCCTAAAACGAAATTCACAAAGAAAAAAAAAATTACTGATTCAATTGAGATTGATCATGTCTGTCTCCATTTGATTAAACTGGCTACACAGAGAGATGGAAGACAGAAAATTTTGGAACTTCACGAGCAACAGATCAGTGCGTCTCATCCCCTCACCATAGTTTTCCTTTCCTACCATTATTTGTACCTGCCTAGAGAAATCCTAGTAAATTAGCACATTTGGCAACCAGAAAAACAATACTTTCTTGCAAAATAAATAAAAGTATTGTTTGCCTGATCTATCATATCCCAAAATGATGCAGTCAAAGTTGTTAATATCCTTTTGTTCTTTACATGTAAAAAGCTTAATGAATTACTATTTATAAAAAAAAAAAAAGATACTGCTCTAATATAACAATTTAATTCACTTGCCTCTGTATCTCAAAATGGAACAGGACAGGTGGGTCTACAGTTAACCAAGTACAACACTTCAAATTTTCTTTTAAAATGGCAAAATGATATCAAGCATGACTTTTACTTTTTTGTCCTGATTCTTCAAAGAGCAGAACAGGTTTTCCACAATTTACTAGCTTAAAAAAACCATGTGAAAATATAGTAAGAAATGCTGCCATAGAAACTTTTCTTCAAAACTATAGTCCAAACTATATGGCTGCAAATTGATTTCTAGGTCTCTGCACAGTCCATAATTCTATAGTTTCCAAATCCTAATATGCCATAAAAACCAGCATGAGCTTCCACATATTTGCTCTGCATTTCCTCTGCACATGCTGGGTTAGCAGAAGCATTAAGGGTTAGTGTGGCAAGACAGAAAGGCGCTGCATAAGATTCCCATGTAACCATAAAGACAGTTCCACTTTATAGCTAAAGCTATGATAGAGAAATACTTCCTTATGACACTCTCTGAAATGTAAACCTTTCAGGCAAGTGAAGACAAAAACAAATGCAGAAAATATCCATGAAGCTGCCACTGAGTAATGCACCTTAAGACTTGCTTTCTTGGTCCCACTGTATCAATCTTTAGTAGCACTTCTGACAGATTTTAAATCTACCAGTTCAGTTTAAAAGCATGCTTTTCTGATACCACAGCTCTCAAACAGGCTATGTCACCTTAATTTAGATTAAACAAGAACTGTCAGACTCTACATTCATGAATTTAAGCAGGGTCCCTGTAGCACTATGAAGCTAAGTACTAACATTCTCAGAGTCCCCATTTGAGGAACCACACTTTCAAATGCCTCCCAAAATAACAACTAATGTCAATCAGGAGGAACCAAAGGAAGCACAACTCCTAGACCTTTGTCTTGTTTGGGGTTTTCCTGTTTTGTTTTGTTTTAATATATAAAGTCCATATGCTTGTTTTTGAACAAATAAGAGAAAACGATTTTTTTTTTTTTTTTAAAAAGATGACCGGTAAGGGGATCTCAACCCTTGACTTGGTGTTGTCAGCACCACACTCAGCCAGTGAGCGAACCGGCCATCCCTATGTGGGATCCGAACCCGTGGCCTTGGTGTTATCAGCACCGCACTCTCCCGAGTGAGCCACAGGCCGGCCCCGAGAAAACGATTTTTAAAAGATGCTTTAGAAGCACTCAGTATTAGTGTTACTTTTGACTAAAGGGGCAAAAGAAGCACCTTAAACTGATATTCCAGTTGCATGCCCCCAACCCCCCCACCGCCCCAGCCATTCTCCACACAGCACTCACTGTTACACTGGTCACAAGCGTAGATTCTCCCTTCCAGGGCCTCTGTCTCTGTGAACTTGGCCAGCATCTCAGTGAGCTGGCACTCTGTCTGATTCAAAGGGACAAGCCCCTTTTCTATGCAGTGATAGCGTTCAGGGAATTCCAGGGACAGATCCCAAAAGGGCTCAATGGTATTGGATTTGTAATTGCATGATATACAAGTGACCTAGAATGAAAACGTTAATTTACAGATTACATAACTTCCATGTTTCCCACATACATTTTTGCTTGCTTCATACAAGACACATAACTTTACCAAAACTAAGTGTATAATTTTAAAAATATTAATTGTAACATTAAAATAATAAACGTAACTTTAATTAAAAGAATTAGGAGCTGGCTGGTTAGCTTAGTTGCTTAGGGCATGGTGTTAATAACACCAAGGTTCAGGGTTCAATCCCTATACCAGCCAGCCACCAAAAAAAAAAAAAAAAAAAAAGAATTAGAGCCTATGACTCTGGTATACATTTCTAATGATGTAATGCTAGCTGGAATTGCAAAACCACACAGCACAGAGATTACAACTACCCCAATCTCTCTTCTCCTCTCCCTAAGTATAGTCTACCATTCAATGCCACAGTAATACAGACAGCAAGCTATTGTGGAATCATTCAAGGAATCAGTTTAAGATAGAGAATTTGCAAGTCCCTGTCTGCTTTTCTCAACCTTGTATTCCTCATGACAGTCCTTCTTACAACTTGCCTCTCTCTTTTTGCACTAGTTTCTTGTAGCACCCTCTACACTGATCCCTCTGTCTGCAGAGCCTCAAAGTACTGTGATTAGACCACTTCTCCCACTATAACTTCTCAGATGCACCTTTATTCCTGGGGGGAAGGAGGGGAGAGGTAGAGGAAGTACCATTTATACTCTCACATGCTAAAAAACAAAAGTCTAAATAAACTTTCTCTCCCCATTCCACTCATTTTTTCAATACTGTAAAAACCAAGGCACAAAACCTCAGTAGCATAGTAGTGTAGAGGTTTTGCTTGTACCTCTATCTCTTAAGCTGCTGTCTTTTTTTTTGGCAGCTAGCTAGCCCATCTTTTTAAAAAAAATTATAAAAATTCTCTTTCTGGGGCCGGCCCGGTGGCGCACTGCTACAGTACGCCGCTTGGGAGCGAGGCGGCGCTCCTGCCGAGGGTTCGGATCCCACATACAGACCGGTTCCCGCTCACTGGCTGAGCGAGGTGCGGGCGCAGCACCGAGGGTTGCGATCCCGTTGCCGGTCCCGGTCTGGTACGGGCGCGACACTGAGGGTTGCGATCCATTGCCGGACACGAAAAAAGACAAAAAAAAAAAAAAAAAAAATCTCTTTCTGCATATTCTCACAAACCTTATCAATGGATCTTTGCTTAGGTCCCTATATAGCTAAAGATCCAGGAAATGAAAAGTAATGGGGGACCATAAGGATGCAGGCCTCTGGCATGCTCCCAGCCACCTACCTTCCTTGTATGGAAAGAAGGAAGAATGCTCTTTCGAACAAGGATGGAACCAACGGTTACAGGCCAACTCTGATCAAAGCATGGCATGCCAACAATGGGTACTTTATATTACCCTTATCTTCATTAATGGTTAACGACATTCAATGAAAATAAAGCAACTTGGCAAGGTAAAGTATAAATCTGGCCAGAAAGAGAGGAGGCCACCCCAATGTACAGTAGAGGCCACCCCAATGTACAGTAGAGGCCATCCCAATGTACAGTACAATGAAAGGTACAATGGCCACCCTCAAGTATGCTTAAATCACACTGGGCTATCTTAATTAGCCCAATAACCCAGGGGACAAATTCACAGGAACACCAAATTAACATGCAAGCCTCCCTCCCTAGAGCTGGGCAGAGTCAGGGTAGGCACACACCTACCTGGCTGAGCAGCTGCCCGTGGAATATAGTATTTACCACCTTTAAGACCTGTTTGGTGAGCTTCCTCTGGGAGAAGGGGATGAGGATTCGGCGTGTGGTTCCCTCTGACTCGAGCTCCTGCTGCACCTTGTGCAACAGCTCGCAGAGAAACTCCTGCGCGTCCTGCTGGTCGTAGCCGCGGAAGGCCGGGATCAGGCTCCACACCGAGTGAAGCATGGCGAAGGGCGATACCAGGGCCCACTTCCCGGACCACATGACTCGGAAGAGGGTGTGCAGTTCGTGGCAGAGGGAAATGTGCTTCGAGCTGGGCTCCTTGTTCTGGATGAGCTCCAGACTCCTGCTGATGGAGGGCCCACCGTTCCAGCAGAGGCCCTCCCGCTCGCATGCCTCGGCCCTGTCACTTCTGGCAGACAGCTCGGTGGCCGAGCTGCCGGCCGGCCTGCCGGAAAGCTGAGCCCTGCCGTTGGTGGCTCTAGGAAACAGATGCTCCGTCTTGGAGGGATCAAGGTTCAGGAAACATTCCCGGAACTTCTGGAGGTGGCTGAGCACCTGGAGGATTGAGTTCATGTAGCAGGTGTTGCCCAGGTTGCGCAGGCCAGTGACACCCGGGGCCACGGCGGGCTGGCGGCGTGGCTTGAACGTGGCGGGGGCAGAAGGGTGGCGGGAGCCCGCCAGGGAGGCAGGGCCAGCGGCGCGGGGCGTGTGCAGCAGCAGCCGTGCGCTCTTGCGCGGGGGTGCGCTGGCCAGCTCCTCCAGCAGTCGCCGCTTCACCTCGCGCCGCCGCTGCCGCGCCTCCTCCTTCTTGCGCTCCAGAGCCTCCTCCTGCCGCTGCTGCTCCAGCTTCGCCCGGCCCCGGGAGCTCTTCTCAAACCACAGCCGCAGCGTCTTGGCCAGCAGATGCTGGCGCCGGTACCACAGAGCCGTGAGCATCTGCGGCTGTCCCTGAGGAACGCGCTGCGGCGGGAGCACGTCCTCGCCTGAAGCCATGGACCGCAGCGTCCGCCCGCGTCTGGCCAGCTGGTCCTGCTTCTGGCCGCGGACCGCCAGGAGGGAGCTCCTCAGCAGCTTCAGGTCCCCCTCTGGGTTATCATTGAGCACGTAGTCTTTGCACAGGTAGCAGAAGACATAGAGGTCCCGGACTTCCATGGCTAGCGGGTGTCCGGTCTCTTCAAAGTGCTTCAGGGCGTGGTCTTCAATGTAGCGGCCGCAGGCCACATGGGAGCACTTGAGGCAGGCCCACGCAGATTCGGTAGTGGCGCACTCCACGCAGCACCACTTCTGAGGGTTCAGGATGGAGTGGTCCTGGGCCAGCCGTAAGCGCCCTACATGTTTGCATCTATCCATGTCTTAGAGAAGTTGCCTCTCTCTTAACCTGGCAGGATAGGGTCCCAAAGAGAAAAAAGGAAAAAATGCTTTCAGCAAAATATGGTCCTAGAGAAAAAGCTTGCAACTGGCATTTCAACTCAAGACTCGTTAGTTTTAGATTCAAAACTGGTTTCTTTGAAAATTAAAAAAAAAAACACATTTGGTATAAAGACAGAAAATTACAGGACAGTTAAATTCCTTAAAAAGGAAAAATTATAAAATACTACATGGGGGCAGGGATTAGCATCAATTTGAAACTTTATTGTGTTTCAAATACCAGTAGGAGAGATAAGACCCTCAAATAAAAAGGCAATCTGAGGTCGATTTCAATGTAGTATTTCAAAGGAGAGATAACAGGATAAGGTAGATAGATATGAAAAAGAAAGTCTTCTACAGTAGAAAGTATTATTTTTATGATACCTAGCTAAGGAGGTAGATTGGGAGCCTCTATTTAAATAACATTTTATTTGTGTCTTTTAAAAAAAAAAAAAAACATTTGCATCTTGTAGAAAGGGTAGGAAAACCATCACCTTCTTCACTGAAAGGATAGGTAAGTAAAGAATTAGATAAACTTGACTTAGGACAAGACATTTTATTTAACCAAACTACTCAGAAAAAAGACAAAAAGCTACAAATCTTCCAATATTATAGTTGTGCACATGAAAATGCTTTTTAAAACAGTGGTAACATGGCTTGCTGGTTAGCTCACTTAGGAGGGTGCGGTGCTGATTACACTAAAGTCACGGGTTTGGATCCCCATACTGGCCAGAAGCCAGAAAAAAAAAAAAAAAGTTCATCAGAGAAGCATAAGTGGGTAATTTTTCTTTTTTTTTTTTTTTCCTTTTTGTCTTTTTTTGTGACCGGCAACGGATTGCAACCCTCAGTGTCGCACCCGTACCGGACCGGGACCGGCAACGGGATCGCAACCCTCGGTGTTGCTCCCGCACCTCGCTCAGCCAGTGAGTGGCCGGTCTGTATGTGGGATCCAAACCCTCGGCGGGAGCGCTGCCGTGCTTCCCAAGCGGCGCACTGTAGCAGTGCGCCACCGGGCCGGCCCCTCACTGGCCACATTTCAAGCGCTCAATAGTCACGTGACTA